CGTCCTTTCTCACCTCTACCTTCGACTACTTAGTATCTTTCGTTCCTTCTTCATTTTTTTCTTCTTCTTCTTCTTCTTCTTCTTCTTCTTCTTCTTCTTCTTATTATTATTATTATTATTATTATTATTCTCCCATTTTCTTTTTTCTCCTCATCTTCGCTCTTCTTTTCTGCCTCCACCACTTCCTCCGTCTTCTTCCTTATTCTCTTCCGTCTTCTTCTTCTTCTTCTTTCTTCTTCTTCTTTCTTCTTTTTCTTCTTCTAATTTCTTCTTCTTCATCTTTCTTCTTCTTCTACTACTACTACTAGTACTACTATTACTCTTCCTGCTCCTCCTTCTTATCTACCGTCTGCTTCTCTTCCTCATCTTCCTCCATCTTTTTCTTCCTCCTTATCCTCCTACTTCCTTTTCTACTTGTTTTACTCTTTTTTTTTACTTTTTCATCGATGCAAGGTTCTTCAGTTGTTGTTCTTTTTCTTTGCCCTTTTCTTTTGTTTCTTCTCCTTTAATTTTTCATCTACGTCAATATCTTCATTTATTTTTCCTCTTCTTTTTTTCTGGTTATCGTCTTTAATTTTCCATCTATTTCAACTTCTTCAGTTATTCTTGTTCTTTTTCCTTCTTCTTTTTCTTGTTCCTTTTCCTTCTTCTTTTTCTTGTTCTTTTTCCTTCTTCTTTTTCTTGTTCCTTTTCCTTCTTCTTTTTCTTGTTCTTTTTCCTTCTTCTTTTTCTTGTTCCTTTTCCTTCTTCTTTTTCTTGTTCTTTTTACTTCTTTTTCTTGTTCCTTTTCCTTCTTCTTTTTCTTGTTCCTTTTCCTTCTTCTTTTTCTTGTTCTTTTTCCTTCTTCTTTTTCTTGTTCCTTTTCCTTCTTCTTTTTCTTGTTCCTTTTCCTTTTCCTTTTTCTTGTTCCTTTTCCTTTTCCTTTTTCTTGTTCCTTTTCCTTCTTCTTTTTCTTCTTCTTCTTTTTCTTCTTCCTCTTCTTTTGCTTTAATTTTTCATCTATACTATACCAACTACTTCCCTTATTGTCTTCTCCCTATTTCTTCATCACCATCTCTTCCTTTTCTTCTTCTTCCAAGGTTTATATTCATCTAAAAATATATATATATATATATATATATATATATATATATATATATATATATTTGTGCGTGTGTGTATGTAATCTTGATAAATACGCCAAGCTCACTGTGTATCAAAATAAGGTCGACTCTGTACAATGCTTGCCACAGTTCATAGTTTATTTTCAGCAAAAAAAAAAGTATCTCCTATTTCCGTATCTTTGAACAAGATAAAGCGAGTGGAACTATATTTGCAATTAAAATCTTTGTTTTCCTTTTCATTCGTACATTTACAAAGCGACATTTGCGTTTCGTATTTATTCCTGCACACTCGACATCTGCGTTTTCCTCCTGAACCTGTCTTCCTCAAATGGCTATTCTATTCTGTTATGAATATTTCGAATAATGTGTTGTATTTTTTTTTTTTTTTTTTTTTTTCCATCACCGGAAATAAATCGACAGATAGGTTTACTAGCTAAATCTGATGAAGATATATTTATTATCACGGAATTTCAAATAAAGGTTTTCTTGCGCGCTAATAAATACACACATACAGGGTGGATCAATATATATATATATGAGCAGAAGTACTTTTTTTTTTTGACAATGACTCCTTACTACAGTCCATTTTCTGCACCGGAACTCCAGTATTCATTTTGAACGACGTAGCGACGCTTCCACCATGATCCCCTGCATATATTTTTTAAATACTCTATACATTGTGCCCGACGAGTTGGGTTATCAACGAAACTTAAGTCGCACACCAAACATAACATTATATATATATATATATATATAAAAATAAAAATAAAAAGGAGGCACGGTGGAGCAGTGGTTAGCGGCTTGGATTGAGTAATCGCAGAGCCGAGTTCGAATTCCAGTCGAATCCACTGCATTCACTTACGTGCTAATACCCTTGGGAAAGGTATGTATCCTCTTCATCTCCCTCCAGCTATGGGTAAAATAGCAGAACAGACTGGGTTCTATAGCCTTGGATGGCAACTGGTCTAGGAGAAGGACAACTCTGAATTCAAAACCTCGTTTGGGACCCTTGTGGCATGCATTCGGTGCACCAGGTTTCTGTATTCGTCCCTCCAAAAAGTGTGGCTGGTCCTGCACAAGGCCTTCTCCACTATAAACAAATCTCATGTGCCGATGTCGGTTTCCTGGGGACTTATCGGCCTGACCCTCTGACGGGAGAGAGATTATATATATATATATATATAATGTTAACCTTAAACCTATCATTGTAGAAAATTACATTCTCGGGCTAATGTTTTGTGCTATCATGAAATTTAAAGATTATAGTCAATCAATACGTTGCCTGCTGGGAAAGTTGTTTCATTCTCTCGTGCTAGACAATTTCTTCGACTTAACATAGCTTACTCATTTATACGTCTATCATCTGCTGCCACATCTGGTCTGTTACGTCTTGTGGATTTAGAGATTCTAGATTAAATCCAGGAAGAATCTGAAATATTATTGGATTGAATCTGATGATCTTTCCTCTTTTGATACCAAGACTGAAATATTATTGGATTGAATCTGGTGATCTTTCCTCTTTTGATACCAAGACTTTATGAATTTAAGCGCAGTACTAGGTTGGCGGCAAGGTCTCCTGAGTTTACAGTTGAACTGGCTAGACACAACCGTAAGTTCTATGCTAACAGTTTCTTCTCTCGAACTTCTCGCTTGCGGGATTGTCTTACAGCTTCTTCCTTCGCAGTAAAGTCTGGTCTTCAAAAATTTAAATGCAATTTCAATCGTTATCTTTTGACTTCGTGTTTCCGATACTTTTATTATTCTTTCTCTTTAATATTTTTTTCTATCACATTCGGTAAACCATTGCGTCTTAGTGTCTTTATTGCCTTACTTGGGAAGTGATTAAAAACTGATTTTTTTTTTAGATCGATAGAATACTTAGTAATGGAAAAAAGAAAAATAGGAATAAAAAAAGAAACATCGTAAAAATGAGAGAGAAAGTGTGAGAAAAATAGAGGAGGAGAGAGAAAGTGAGAGAGACAAATAGATAAGGAGAGATAAAGCTAGAGAGACAAATAGATAAGGAGAGAGAAAGTTAGAGAGACAAATGGACAAGGAGAGACAAAGTTAGACAAATGGACAAGGAGAGAAAAGAGACAAATTAGAGAGACAAATGGACAAGGAGAGAGAAAGTGAGAGAAAAAATAGATAAGGAGAGTTAGAGTTAGAGACAAATGGACAAGGAGGAGAGAAAGTTAGAGAGACAAATGGACAAGGAGAGAGAAAGTTAGAACAAATGGACAAGGAGAGAAAGAAAGACAAATGGACAAGGAGAGAGAGAAAGTTAGAGACAAATGGACAAGGAGAGAGAAAGTTAGAGAGACAAATAGACAAGGAGAGAGAAAGTTAGAGAGACAAATAGACAAGGAGAGAGAAAGTTAGAGAGACAAATAGACAAGGAGAGAGAAAGTTAGAGAGACAAATAGACAAGGAGAGAGAAAGTTAGAGAGAGACAAGGAAAAAGTTAGAGGACAAGGAGAGAGAAAGTTAGAGAGACAAATGGACAAGGAGAGAGAAAGTTAGAGAGACAAATGGACAAGGAGAGAGAAAGTTAGAGAGACAAATGGACAAGGAGAGAGAAAGTTAGAGAGACAAATGGACAAGGAGAGAGAAAGTTAGAGAGACAAATGGACAGGAGATAGACAAATGGACAAGGAGAGAGAAAGAGAGACAAATAGACAAGGAGAGAAAGAATTAGAGAGACAAATAGACAAGGAGAGAGAAAGTTAGAGAGACAAATAGACAAGAAAGTTAGAGACAAATGGACAAGGAGAGAAAGTTAGAGAGACAAATAGACAAGAGAGAGAAAGTTAGAGACAAATGGACAAGAGAGAGAAAGTTAGAGACAAATAGACAGGAGGAGAGAAAGAACAAATAGACAAGGAGAGAAAGTTAGAAGACAAATAGACAAGGAGAGAGAGACAAATAGACAAGGAGAGAGAAAGTTAGAGAGACAAATAGAAAGAGAGAAAGTTGAGACAAAGGACAAGGAGAGAGAAAGTTAGAGAGACAAATGGACAAATGGACAAAGGAGAGAAAGTTAGAGAGACAAATGGACAAGAAGAGAAAAGAGAAACAAATGGACAAGAGAGAAAGTTAGAGACAAATGGACAAGAATAAAGAGAGAAATATTAGGACAAATGGACAAGGAGAGAAAGTTAGAGACAAATGGACAAAGGAGAGAGAAAGTTAGAGAGACAAATGGACAAGGAGAGAAAGTTAGAGACAAAGACAAAGTTAGACAAATGGAGAGAGAAAGTTAGAGAGACAAATAGACAAGGAGAGAGAAAGTTAGAGAGACAAATAGACAAGGAGAGAGAAAGTTAGAGACAAATAGACAAAAGTTAGAGAAATAGACAAGTTAGAGAGACAAATAGACAAGGAGAGAAAGTTAGAGAGACAAATGGAGAGAAAGTTAGAGACAAATGGACAAGGAGAGAGAAAGTTAGAGAGACAAATGGACAAGGAGAGAGAAAGTTAGAGAGACAAATGGACAAGGAGAGAGAAAGTTAGAGAGACAAATGGACAAGGAGAGATAAAGTTAGAGAGACAAATAGACAAGGAGAGATAAAGCTAGAGAGACAAATAGACAAGGAGAGAGAAAGTTAGAGAGACAAATGGACAAGGAGAGAGAAAGTTAGAGAGACAAATGGACAAGGAGAGAGAAAGTTAGAGAGACAAATGGGACAAGAAAGAGAGACAAATGGACAAGAGAGAGAAATGGACAAATGGACAAGAGAGAGAAAGTTAGAGAGACAAATGGACAAGGAGAGAGAAAGTTAGAGACAAATGGACAAGGAGAGAAAGTTAGAGACAAATGGACAAGGAGAGAGAAAGTTAGACAAATGGACAAGGAGAGAGAAAGTTAGAGAGACAAATAGACAAGGAGAGAGAAAGTTAGAGAGACAAAGAGACAAGGAGAGAGGAAGTCAGAGAGAAAAATAGATAGATCTTTTCCTTATAGTATATGTTCCGCGCCAGGGCTGCATATTGTCTTATGAGAAGCTTAGAGAAGAATATGATTCATGCCTTTCACAAGGCAATTAGCACATAAGTGAATGTAATGAACTCGACTGGAATTCGAACTCGGTTCCCCGCTTCTTCAATCTGAACCACAATCCATTACTCTACCGTGCCTCTTCAGGTCAGAAGAGTTGGATTCATGCCTTTACTAAGGCAATTAGCACATAAGTGAATGTAATGAACTCGACTGGAATTCGAACACGGTTCTCTGATTCTTCAATCCGAACCAAAATCCATTATTCTACCTTGCTTCTTCAGGTCAGAAGAGTTGGATTCATGCCTTTCCAAAGGCAATTAGCACGTAAGTGAATGTCATAAACTCGACTGGAATTCAAACTCGGCTCTACGATTCCTGAATCCGAACCGCACTTTATTACTCTATCGTGCCTCTTTTTACCAGAAAAGTTGGATTCATGCCTTTCCTATAGTTATTAGCACGTAAATAAATGTAATGAACTAGACCGCAATTCGAACTCGGCTCTCCGATTCTTCAATCCAAGCCACAATCCATTGCTCCACCATCAACATAGTGATATAAAGAGTAAGATTTAAAATGAGTTAGAAAGAAATAGAGAAAAATCGATAATGACAAAGAGAGAGAGAGGACATGCGAGAAATCGATAGAATATTTGACAATGGGATTGAGAAAAATCAAGGTAGAAAGTGAAAAATCGATAGAGAGAAAGTGAGAAACATGTATAGTTAGAAAGAGAGAGATATATATAAATAGATAGACTATTTGGCAATGGGAGAAAGAAAGATAGTAGGAGAGAGATTAAAACAGTATAAAAACGTCTGAGAGAGAAAAGGCGAAAAAAGAAATATATAGAGAGACAGCGGGATAAAAATGATAATGAGAGGGAGAGAAAATGAAAGAGAGACAAAGGTTCTTTAGAGTGTGAGAGAGAATGAAAAAAGAAAGACACACAGATATTGAAATTGAACGAAAGAAAGAGATATAGAAAAATCTTCTTTTTTTATGGAATAAGCATTGTTGCATATTTCAAATTTTAATCTGAATATATATTACGGAAATCATTTTTCTGTTGTTGCTGTTTCGCGTCGTAAAAATATCGTAGCCATCATTGTACCATTAATCTAACAAACTCTATCTCAAATTCTTCAAAAGAAAATATCTCACTAAAGGAAATTTCCAGACTACATTCAAGGGTCGTTCCAGAATTAATCTTCGTTTTATTTCTATTTATTTTTTTTAATTACAACAAATTTAAAATTAAAACAAATTGAAAATCGTCTCTGGAATCCAAATTAAATCCTCAACATGGACTACTTTCTTTTCAATCGTGTACAGGTAGAGTTTTATAAGCAATGCTTGTCCTATTTTTCATGACAACAGATAATAAAAAAAAAAAAACGAATCATATCAAAATGAAAACAAAAGTTTCTCTATACCGAATCTAGGTCTCTTCCTTTTCCATATTGTCGCGAGTTTATAAAATAAAAAGACCAATGCATTTTAGTGAAACCGGTTCCGACAATGAAGAGAAATGTCTCCCGATTCGGAATTTACTTCTCAACATTTTCTAATCACAAGAAGTGAAGAGTGTTCTTTACTTACATAAGATTTTGATATAAAGACACACTTATAATTGTAATATTAACAGCTTGCTTATAAGAATAAGGCTTCATAGTCGGAACGCTATCGTTCTAAACCACTGGTTCTGAATCAGTGTTTGATCGGACCCCAGGGGCTTGGGGAGTCATTATCAAGGGTTCCGCGGAGGTCAAGAGATGTCAATGATGAATACCTCGATTAAATCATTGAACGTCAACTGAGCCTGGTTCGACAGCAACTCTTCAACGATATCAAAACTTTGGTGTCACCAAATCGTAGCGTACCATCTTATTGTTAAGAAAATCCTTGAGAGATTCATACCGTTGGTTACAACATATCTCCGTGAGCAATCTTTTTCTAGGATGTTATATATGAAAACGGAGAAAAGAAACAGACTTTGTTGCGAAAATGATATGAGAATGGTACAAAGGTGAAGCCGTGCATTTCTGAAATTGTCTCTGAAAGCCAACAGCAAAAGTCGTCTTGGGTAAGACGTTAAAATACATCCGCGTCCTGGGAAAGACGATAAACTACATCCAACAGCAAGGCCTATGATCAGGATGTTTTGACGAGCGTGAAACCACCTCATAATTGCTGGTGTTCCGTGGTCCACACTGGTCCGGGGTGGTAGCACCTGTTAGGGTCCCAGCTATGGGCAAATAGTTAACTATTACCAGCAATACTTTTTTGAAAAAAAGATTATTACCAGCAATACAATTTTGAAAGAAAAATATTACCAGAAACAGATTTTGACAAAACAAAATATTATCAGCAATAAAAAATGTTGTTGGCGTTAAATAACCCATTGAGGTTGATATGCCGTAAAACAAAATAAACCAAACCAATCTAAACCAAAGAATACATATTCTATTCATACGAATCTATCCTAAAAATGCTGTCGGTATTAAATAACCCATTGAGGTTGATATGACGTAAAACAAAATAAACCAAACCAATCTAAACCAAAGAATACATATTCTATTCATACGAATCTATACTAAAAATGTTGTCGGCATTAAATAACCCATTGAGGTTGATATGCCGTTAAACAAAATAAACGAAACCAATCTAAACCAAAAGAATACATATACATATATATATATATATATATATATATATATATATATATATATATATATATATATATATATACTTTAAAAAAAATCATATTTTATTTTTCCAGTTACAAAGGGTTTGGTGAATGAACGGATAAAATTTGCGGGGTTCAGTACCTGCAACAACGTTGGGAACCACTGCTCTAGTCTGATATCGAATCACTATAACAGAGTCCCCAATGAGGATAAAACTTTTTTATTAGATGCTAGTGAATCCAGCCTTTTATCAAATGCTCTGTAGCAGGTGACCAAACCAGTCCACAACTGTTGCACTTTATACAGAATTTCAAAGGACTTAAACAGGTCTTATCAGCAGCATTCAGTTTTGCTGTCACCAAATCGTAGTGTCCTCTTATTGCCAAGAAATCCCTTGAGGTACTCCTATCGTTTGTTACAACGTACCTTTGCGAGCAATCCTTTTTCGAGGATGGTAGGCATGGAAACGAAGAAAAGGAAGAGAATTTGTTGGGGAATTGTTATGAGATTGGCACGGTGAAGCCGTACCTTTCTGAACTTGTTTCTGAAAGGCAACAGCAAAAAGTCATATTGATTTGCAGTAAATATTTATAGAGTTACGTTTTTGTGTGAAAGTCATGTTTTGTTGGTTTTCTACTTTGAACAAAGTCATTTTCTGTGCAAATGGTGCGTGGTTTGTACACTAATAAAATATATACCTATGTTTTGAAGAAATTATATTTTATTTTTCCAATTAAGAAGTGTTCGGTGAATGCACGGATGAAATTTGCGGGGTTAAGTACCTTCAGTGACGGCGAGAGTCGGCGGGGAAAATGTAGGTTATTTTTTTTAGTTTTTTAATCAGCTGCTAATTTAACCATGTCGAACTGATAAGACTTATTTACAACGGTCTTAATCGTATTAGCGTAGATACCAAGTTGGTCTAGCAAACGTGTTACTTCATAGAGATTAGAAGCCTAACAACTCGTAGAATCTGTTCCAGTTTTTATTATATTTTTAAGTACTCACTAACCTAATTTAAATTTACTATAGTCATAGCTCTTATTTTCTGATTATGTTGTGTATGGCCAACCATACTTTCAAACGGGGCCACGTTACATATACATAAACAAAAATTAAGTCTTTTAAAAAATATAGAGTTAAAACGTCTTTTACGGACTTTTTAATTTTCGATTCGTAAATATAGTCTTTATATAATAGCAATGTCACTGAACGGCCTTGAAATAATGCAGAATTTTAAACGAGTTAAAACTATTTAATTAAAATTTTATAAAAATTAAAACAATTCTTGTAAAAAGTGATTACTCATCGAAAAAAAGTTTCTTCTTGAGACAATAGTGTCCTTAATAAAACTTATTTATAAAAGCATTTAAAATGTTTTCTAATTAAAGAAAGCCATAGTTTTACTGTATATTAATAAGCACAAACAATACATCTCTACCTTTTCACTCGTCCTTGGTAAGACGATAAACTACAACCAGCAGCAAGGCCACTGATCAGGAGGTTTTGAGGAGCATGGAACCCTCTTTATTTGCTAGTGTTCCCATGTCCAACATTACTCAATGTAGTATCATCTGTTACGTTCCCAGCTATGGGAAAATAGTTAAATATTACCAGCAATACTTTTTGAAAGAATTAATATCCAGCAATACAATTTTGATGGAAAAATATTACCAGAACCAGATTTTTGTCAAAAAAAAAATAACAGCAATAAAAAATGTCGGCCTTAAATAACCCATTGAGGTTGATATCCCGTAAAACAAAATAAGCCAAACCATTTTCTTTTAACAATACACCAAGCATAAAGTTCCCTGGTTTGGGATAAATCATACTGTGTTAGTCTGGCTGTCTATTCTCTCGGCTTATTGTGTCCGATTTCAAGCATTAACTCATACGTTTGGTCTTATGCCAAACTTGACTTATTTAACAAAATCAAGCTGGTCATAACCTTCTACTTCTTCTTCTTCTTTTTTTTCTTCTTTTTTTTTCTTCTTCTTCTTCTTCTTCAGTTCTTCTTCTTCTTCTTCTTCTTCTTCAATTCATCCTCTACCTTTAATTCTTCCTCTATGGCAACATTTTCAGTTCTCCTCCTCCTCCTTCCTTTTCTTTTTCTTCTCCTTCTACTTCTTCTTCTTCTTCTTCTTCTTTATCTTCAGTTCTTCTTCTTCTTCTTCTTTAATTCATCCTCTACCTTTAATTCTTCCTCTATGCCAACATTTTCCGTTCTCTTTCTTCCTTTTCTTCAGTTCTTCTACTTCTTCTTCCTTATCTTCAGTACTTCTTCTCCTTCTTCTTCTTCTTTTTCTTCTTCCCCTTCATTTCATCCTCTACTTTAATTCTTCCTCTATGCCAACATTTTCAGTTTTCCTCCTCCTCCTTCTTCCTTTCCTTCAGTTCTTTTTCTTCTTCTTCTTTATCTTCAGTTCTTCTTCTTCTTCTTCTTCTTCTTCTTCTTTAATTCTTCCTCTATGCCAACATTTTCAGTTTGTCTTTCTCCTCCTTCCTTTTCTTCAGTTCTTCTTCTATGCCAACTTCTTCATTTCTCCTATTTCAATTATTCCTCTATGCCAACTTTTTCAATTTTTCTTCTTTTTCTTCAATGTCAATTTTTTCAATTCTTCTTCTTCTTCTTTTTCTTCTTCTGTGTCAACTTTTTCAGTTCTCCTCCTCTTCCTTCTTCCTTTTCTTCAGTTCTTCTTCTTCCTTTTCTTCAGTTCTTCTTCTTCTTTTTCCTCTTTTTTCTTCTTCTTCTTTTTCCTCTTTTTTCTTCTTCTTCTTTTTCTTCTTTTTTCTTCTTCTTCTTCTTTTTTCTTCTTCTTCTTCTTTTTTCTTCTTCTTCTTCTTCTTTTTTCTTCTTCAATTCTTCCTCTTCTTCATTTTTCCTACATTAATTATTCATCTATGCCAGCTCCACTTCTTTTTAATTCTTCTTCTGTATTTCTTCTTCTTTCAAGCCATTCACTTCTTCTTCTTCTTCTTCTTCTTCTTCTTCTTCTTCTTCTTCTTCTTCTTCTTCAGTTTTTCTTTCGCTTTTTAGCTTTCTTTTATTCCTCTATCCTCCCGCCATCTTTCTCCTATTTATCTCTTTCCTTTCGTTTCTTTCTTCTCTTCACTGCTCAGCACGATCGCTCAGCACCGATCGTCATCCGTACTAATCTAGCTGATCGTTAATGTCATCAATGCTCCGGCCTTTTTGAAACCCACTTCATGGACTCACTAAGAAGAATCTTATTTGCATACGATTTGCATCGTTTTGCTTAAATCACTGCTTATCGAAAAGTTAATAAAATCGACAAACTGCCAACGATTAGATTAGATCGTTAGCCAGTGGATTGAGAGGAGGGTGGGGTATTTAACAAGGAAGTAGGTTAGGGAAAATCGCTTACTTGAGGGAAGTAATATGCACTGAGATCCTGTGAAGCGATCGACCGACCTCCCCCGGCGTATCGACTATACGGTGCTAGGGAAAAATTATTCAAAATATTTAAGATGTCTGAGCTTGAAATTTGGGGGCTTAAATCTCTTTTTGCGAATTTTCGTCTGATGTACAGTCACTTTAACGATTTTTGTTTCATGCCATGTCAGATCATTACTCTTTTTCTCCCCAATTATGGGCTAAATAGTAAGATTAATATTAGAAAAAAAAAACATCTCTAAATGATTCTTGCAATCTGAAAATATTTTCTGGCTTTAAATAATCTGGCAAGACTTTAAAAATAAAAGGAAAACAATAACAAAAATATCGCCGGTACTGGCGGGAAAATATAGATGCTTCTCAATGGTGCGAAAGTGAATGCAAAAGACAAGACAGGAATTAGAACTCATCCCGTCAATTTCACTGAGCTCATAACCGTCACGATGTCAGCGTGTATCCTTAAAATACTATCACGATGAAAAAATATACAGGAAGATTTAGAGTTCATATTTTCCAAGTATGATATTCTTTGTTATTATATTTGGAGCACACGACCGACAATATTCCTTGTAATACCAAAGATGAACTGGAGACAAATATTATGGCATCATTCACCAACTTAAAAAAAAAGAGAACTGTCCAG